AGAATGCACCAACGGGTAAAGTTACTAGGCACATAGTCTTCCAATCAATCATTCTATCTAGTATTTTTATATGGTAATTTCTGATGGCTGGATGTGAACACAAGCAGGGGAGCTTGGGTTACATGGCAAGTGTGTTTTAAAACATGATGCCTCCTGATTCATAAATACCTGCAGCATGGACTTGGGATGTGGCAATTCTTCACCTTGATAGATTTTTATATAGGCCTGAGGGGGGAAAAAAGGAAAAAACTCAAGTTCAAGCAATTCCACTCAGTATTTCTCTAATTCTATTAAATTGTATTCCAAGGCCTTGACATTTCAAAAAGCTATTTTCAGGAACTTGTAACTGTTATCTCTTTCTTATACATTAATTCCCTTCTTTACAGTTCAAGTCATTCCATTTCCTGAAGGGTTGTCTTCACACACCTCTGCCTGGCAATTCTACCCTTTTTAAAGGCTCACCTCAGTGCCACCCGCTTAAAACTCTCTTAGGTCCCTCTGCTGGGCGTGACTTCCCTTTTTCAGGTGCCTACAGGAATTTGTGCCCTACCGAAGTCATCAGCTTTCTCGAACAGATCTGTGGAAGGTCCTGAATCTCTTCCACATACACTAAGCATTCAAATTTAGACAACATGTCATTTATGCTGAGAGTAATAAAGGCAAACAGATCACCCAGGAGGGATATGACAGCATTTTAAATGACAAATCACTGATTTTTGAAATTGTTATTTTAGTCTTTGGAGCATTGATCCATAAATCGGGTTGGTAACTGAAATGTATGTGGGTTGGTAAAAAGTATTTGATGCTATCTGAGGTAAACAGGTAAGTGCAAATTTAAAATAATTCCACTTCAAATTGGCCCTTGGTGCAGAGAGCAGGAAATGTGAAAGAATTTTCTTTAGTAGGAAGATATAATCCCTTTGGGGAAAAATCTTCAGAATGAAAGTAAAATGCCATATGGCTCATGAAACTTGGGAAATAGCTCCACCCCCAGAAGACTTTTCCAACTCTTATATTTTAAAATGTATTTCCCGCAAGATAAAGGGGAACTCCTTCACGTAGTTTCCACAAAAAATAATTTCAGAGAGTAAGCTTGAGTATTTCATAATTTTAAAATCTTTTTTATAGTTTTCCCATAGATAAGGTCTGACAATTAAGTTTGTGAACTTGCCACTGTACACACTGGACAACAGCTCAGCGAGGTCCCATAACCCAGTGTGTCAGTGTCTCACGGCTCTGTATGTGTCCGTGTGTGGCAGTGTCTTGCTGAGAGGCGTTCACTATTGTTGTGTTTTTATCTGCCATTGTGATAATGTCCAAGCTTGAATTAAACCAATGAACAAACATTCCTAAATTTCTTGTGAAACTTGTCAAAAGTGGAAATGAAATCAGGGACACGTTAGTCCAAGTTTATGGGGATAATGCCATGAAGAAAATGGCAGTGTACAGATGGATTGAACGTTTTTCTGAGGGGATCAAAGTGTCACTGATGAAGAGGTCAGGGTGGTCAGTAACTGATGAAACAGTGAAAACTTTGCTAAATTGTGCATCAAAATCATCAACTGATGGATGTGAGAAGCTCAGCAGACCAAGTAAACATCTACAGAAACACAGGAACATATTATCTGAAAATCTTGGCTATGATTAGTGGCTCTTGCATCACCACAATGCGCCAGCTCACACGGCACTGTCCATGGGGGAGTTTTTAGCCAGTAAATAAATGACTGTATTGGAAACACCCTCCCTGCTCACCTGAGCTGTCCTACAAGAACTATTGTCTTTACCCAAAGAGAAAGGAAATATTTAAGATATTTTGATGGTATTCAGGACATCAAGAATAATAGGATGACAGCTCTGGTGGCCATTCCAGAAAAAGAGTTCCAAAATCTAAGTGCTGATGTCAGTGCACAGCTCCTCAAGGGGAGCACCTCAAAGGTGACCATAGTGATATTCAGCCATGAGGTGTGTCACAATTTTTCTAGGGTTAGTTTGTGAACTTAATTGTCAGGCCTCGTGTTTGCTCCCACAGTACAGAGCCTGTAATTTTTGTGGCAGGAACTACATTCCAATACATGTCTAGTCTAAGTACTCAGAAATGCTCTAGAAACGAGAGTGGTACCTTGAAGTACTCCACCAGACCTCGGCAGGTGATCTTATTCCCATTGATCTCTTTAATGTCTAGGCTCTCAGGACTAAGTAGCCAAGGAATCAGTATTTTCAAGTTTTTGATGAATTCATCATCTATTTCTGCAAGTAAAAGAAAGTCCATCATTATTTTTTAATCCTATCCAGTTCTGCAAGCCATAGAATAAAACAGCCTGGGATTTCCTCCAGCTGGTCCCCAGCGATAACGCAGTCACCCACTCCCCCATCAGTTAAACAGCACCAGAAATCCTCTCTCCTCAGGGTAAATGATTTGCCCCACCCAAACTGCTACTGCTGGTCTCTCTTAGTACACACTAATTTCACATTTATCTTGTCTGCCACCTGTAAAACAGCTTTCTTGAGAATAAATGTTAATATATATAGTGTACAGCCCCTTTATGTAACCATTTCGTGTCTTTAAGTCTTGTTTATGGTTTTATATGGAAAGACTCATAAATAGGGACAAGTCCAGATATTTACTGACTTATAGTTCATTCCTTCCAGAAGATGTATCCAAAAATTGCTGTGTGTTCAGTGTGACCGTCTTAGAAGTGTGTGGAATTGTGGTAACTAGGACTCGGAAGTTTAAGAAGTAGTAACGGTGTAATGGTGGGGTGACCTCTAGTGGTGGAACTCGGCAACACAAACAGCACAGCAGGGACAAGCCTGGGAAGACCGTTCAGCTGCTCAGACTGCTCAGAGGTCATCTGAGTTACGCAGTTGTCATGTTTGCTACAATTGATTACACATGACCCAGTAGCAGTAGGTTCAAGCTTAACATTACAG